CCCTGATAGGACCCCAGCTCACTCCTGTCCTGATGTCATCCTGCTCACTTCCTGTCCTGAGGTCACAGGCCCCTGATAGGACCCCAGCTCACTCCTGTCCCGATGTCACGGGTCCCTGATAGGACCCCAGCTCACGCCTGTCCTGATGTCATCCTGCTCACTTCCTATCCTGATGTCACAGGTCCCTGACATCACCCGGCTCACTTCCTGTCCTGATGTCACAGGTCCCTGATAGGACCCCAGCTCACTTCCTGTCCTGAGGTCACAGGCCCCTGACATTCCACGTATCCTGGAGACCAGGACTGGAGAAGCTGAGCCCTTTTCCTTCCGCTGCAGGGAACATGGTGACGAGGAGAGGAGCAGGGACCCACTTCTTCGTCTTCCTGATGTACTGCTGGCCAAAGGTGCAGCTCCGGCCGATGGGAACACACTCAGGTACAGCCCCGAGGGGAGAGGCGGCAGACAGACCACGGCCCTGGTCAGGCGGGCGACACCTTCCCTACGGTGCCTCTCTGCTGTGGCTCAGTGTGCTCCTCCCGACACTCAGGGGTGACAGCATAGTGACGGCGTCCCAAGGCGGGGCCCTCGAAAGTGGGTCCTGAGAGCAGAGGCCTTTGTGGCCTCGGGTCACGGCCCCTGCTGCCTCCCTCCTTACCGCCCCCTCCTGCCCTCCGTGCCCCGGACTTGCGGGGTCTCCTCGGGCGTGAGAGCAGCAGATCTGTTCTACTTCGCCTGGAGCGAGAGTGTTGTTGTAGCGGCACACACAGATGCAGACCTCCTCCCTCCCTGCCCAAGCCCACTGCTGGACAGCTGGGCCTCGAGGGACGGAAGCCGCGCAGAAGCCCCTCCGTCTCTGAAACCCCTCTGACCCCGGAACTCGGTGGGAGCGTTGCATGCATCGTGTCCTTGAGCTCAGTGTTGATGTGGGGAGCTGGAAACCCTGCCAGAGCAGAGGAAGATGGTCCCACCCCTCAGGCAGTCAGACCCTGCAGCGGTCTTGGCATGCATCTCTGCACCCTGTGTTTTAAGACACAGGTAGTAGCCCAGGCTGGCTTCAAACTCACAGCGATCCTCCTGCCTCAGCCTCCCAAGTGCTGGGATTACAGCAACTGTGTGCAACCCAACCCGGCTGGGGTTTTCCTTTTGAGGAGTATCTCAGCACTGCCCCAGAGAACATAAAAGATTTTCCTGCTGGCAGATAAAAGCCCTGTTTTCAATCGATCCAGAGTGCTGTAGTCATCCACAAGATCATGAAACATCAGCACACACTGTGGGCCCCGTCTCAATCCCCTGACCGTGTCCTGCTGGCTGGGGGAGGGGGCGAGCAGGGCCCACGTGCTACTGGCTCCATCTCTCCCTTCTGTTCCAACCGCATGAGAGGCCGGGGCAGCAGCACGCTCCTGGCAAGGCCCAGCCGGGTGTGCGCAAGCTGCCCGCTGCTCAGGCTTCCTCAGAGCTAGCGGAGCACTGAGGTCCAGGAGGAGCGGCCTGACTGTCACCACTGGAGAGTCTCGGGCCTCTCTCCTGGCCCCTGGCGTCCCGAGCAAAGACGTGGACAGGACGCAGGGAGGCCGCGCGGCCCACATTTACCGAGGTGGGAAAGACGCGCACTCTGCAGCGTGAGAGCAGGCGGCAAACAGACTCTCAGTGCCAAGGTGGCGGGGTCCTTTGTACCCAGAATCCCGGTTGTCCCTGCTCAGGCAGCTGAGGCACTGCGACAGGTGTCCTGTCCCATGGAAAAGCAGCCCCTGCCATGTGTAGATGAAGGATCAGGAAGAGTGTCTTTGGATTGGCCCTGCCTGTATGCAAATGAAGGGTTGAAAAGAGCATCTCCTGGGCCAGGCAAGGTGGCTCAAGCCTGTAATCCTAGCACTCGGGAGGCTGAGGCAGGAGGATCACTGCGAGTTCAAGACCAGCCTGGGCTACAAAGTGAGCTCAAGGCCAGCCTGAACTGCCCGGCAAGACCCTGTCTCAAAAAGACAAAAAAAAAAAGGAAAGAAAGAAAAGAAAAGAGCATCTCCTGATCGGTCCAGCAAATGGCACTGGATTCAAATGAAGGACTGCAAACAGCGCTTTTCTGCTTGGCTCTGTGCACAGCCGCAGTGTGTGGTCAGTGTCCCTCTCCCGGGAGCGTCCGTCAGCCGGTTGCACTGTCTTACTTCCAGGGTGAGCACAAGGTGAGCTGGAGCTGAGCCCCTGGGCTCTGGGATCCTCCTGAGAGCAGGTCACATGGTGCCGGCTGAGTGACAAAGTCCACCCCGAGCTGACCTGGGAGAATGGTCCCGCCTGGCCCTGAGAGTGTGCAGACGGCAAGCGGTTACCAGAGCCCACAGCGTCATGGAGAGCTTAATGCAGGAGAACTGTAACTCCCTGCCTGTTAGATGTCAAACGGTCCCATAACATCGAGGTCCCAAACCAGAGGAAGAAGTTCGAGTTTTATTGGAAACAAGGGGAGAACAAACAGCTCCTGGGTTTCCAGCAGGGGTCCCGAGTCGGGTGGCCCCTGAGGCCCTTTGTCACTGGGTGATTTACACAGCAAAGTCATGGTGTGGTACAGCGTGGGTCAAGTCACCACCAACCCGGAGGACGACAAGTGCAGCCCCTTAGCTAGCATGGATCGGATGGGGAGTGAGCCGCACAGCCGGAGTGCGTGGTGAGAACAAAGGCCTTAACACGGGGCATGGTGGCGCACGCCTGTAATCCCAGTACATGAGGCAGGAGGCTGAGGCAGGAGGATCACTGCAAGTTCGAGGCCAGCCTAGGCCAGCCTGAACTTCATAGAGAGACCCTGTCTCAAAAAAGACAAAAAAAAAACCAAACCAGAACAAAGGCGTTGTAGGGAAGGGAGGGGTCTGGACGCTCTGGGCACCCGAGCGGGCGGCAGATGCCTTCTGCACGTCCTGGAGGTGGTGTGTGTCACAGTGCAGTCTCCAGGTACTGCTCATCCCGGAGGGAGGCGTGCTGGCCTGGCCATTGTGTCCATGAGGCCTGGCTTTCTTCAGGTGTGCCTCCAGCCACAGGCCTGACGTTTTTATTTTTGTGCTGTCTTCCTTGAGAGCCCCACCCCTCTCTGACTGGATATTAATTTCTATCTAACTTAACCGCCTATAATAACATCAGTGTTGCTAACTCCCTTTTTCACAGAGGAGCTAGGATTACAAAGCAAGAGTTGTGAGGCGCTGAGGACAAGAGGTGCCCTCACTAATGTCACTCCCGGCCCCCGTCCGTTCCTGGTAGAAGGCTTGGGCAGCCCTCAGGATCCTCTCCAGCTTGAGGCCTGCTGGAAACCTTACACAGTAACCAGCATGGCAAAATGGAAATTTAAAAGTTAGAAGGCCAAGCATGGCTGCGCACACCTGTAATCCCAGCACTCGGGAGGCTGAGGCAGGAGGATCGTTGTGAGTTTGAGGCCAGCCTGGGCTACAAAGTGAGCTCAAGGCCAGCCTGAACTGCATAGCAAGACCCTGTCTCAAAAAGACTAAATAAATTAATTAATTAAATAAAATAAAAGAGTTTTTCCTGTACAGACAAGTGACTTCTCCAGGTTTCCCAGGGAGGGCAGGTCATTTCCTTTCTACAGGGAAGGGAGGAGAGATTGGGGGCAGGAAGGGACAGAACCAGCTTGGCCACATCTGGCACTGGGTCTGCGAAGTTCCTGAAGCTGAGATGAGGAATTGAACCGCAGCAGTGAGCGACTGGGAGAGGGCTCATTGGGTGAGATTTTAGGACCCACTCAAGAATGGGGTTCCCGGGGCTGGGGATTTAGCTCAGCGGCAAAAGCGCCTGCCTGGCAAGCGCAAGGTTGTGAGTTCGGTTCCCGGTACCGGAGAAAAACCAAAAAAAAAAAAAAAAAAAAACAAGAATGGGGTTCCCGTGCTCAGGGAGAGCGGCACACTCTCCCAGTTTGGAGCTGGAAGTATTTGCGTGTTTTTGGCAGTGGGAGTCTGTGGAATTTGACAACCCTGGTCCTGGTGAGGGGAGTGGGCCGCCCGCAGGGAGGTGACATCCGTGCTGGAGGAAGCCAGCGCACAGGAAGGAGGGTGCTCCGCACTGGGGAAGGGAACGGCCCAGGCCGACGTGTCCTGGAAGAAGAGGAAACAACTGAACTGGGCTCCTGTCCTGAGCCACAGTTTTCATTTCTAAAATCACGGCTCTGTTTGTCTCCTTTCTGCCTGCTTTTAGCTTTTCTACGTCCCATCGTCTACTTGCACTCGGGCTCCTGGCTCCTTGTAACAAAAAACCCCAGTGCCTGAGCTCGCTAGGCCGGGCGTGGAGGCAGGACAGCCCCTCCAGCTCATCGGAACCATCTTTGAGTAAAGCCTTTCCCTTTTTTACCAGAATAAATGGCCTCAACTGGTTACCAAATTTGGGGGGCTGGAATCTCCTCCAGAGAGGTACTTTCTAGGTTCTTCCTGTTCTGAACAAATAACTGGTCAAGATAAGCTCAAAAGGTAGTGAAGTTGTACATGTACTAAATGCAGAAAAAGAGCCAGGCATGGTGGCACATACCCTTAATCCTCACACTCAGGAGGCTGAGGCAAGAGGATCTCCTTGAGTTCAAGACCAACCTGCACTATGTAGCAAGACCCTGTCTCAAAAATAAATAAATAAATAAATAAGGAAAAGGAACATGCTCTGCAGAGCAAGTGTAGGCCAGTTACAAGTAGGAAAAGCAGCACAGTCTAAGGGTGAAAGTGGCCCCCGGTGAAAGACAAAACACACAGCCGCCCAGAGCTCATGGGCGCTGTCTTCTGAGTCAGTCCTCGGGCTTTCGAGGGGCCTGGGCCATCCATCCTATCAGAACCCTGCTTGAGTTCCCAGGAGCATGAGTGTCCTAGAAGTCTGATCACCAGGTTGCACCACCGCCCCCGCCCACCCTGCCGTCTTAATCCGCCGCTTTGGTGTGGTCAGCAGAAAGCGAACGACGCCAGCACCGAGCACAGGAACCTACGTAGCTAGGAACGGCCCCTCACTGAGGGCCTCCCCGAAGGCCAGCGAAGAGGCTGAGTCCACCCACGTGGTCTCTGAGGGCAGACTGGTCTCCTCACCCGCTCAGGGCCCCCCAGCTTTGGTCACTGCAGCTGTCCCCAGCATGGCTGTGGGTCCCTCACGTGGAGGTGCTGGGCACCGAGGGGGCAGACAGCGGCCACCGTGAGGCCGACGCCTGAGAGCGCACGTTCGCAGCCACACGGTGCGGGGCGCAAATGCTTTATGCGCGGCTCACGGCTGGCTCGCCCGGCGCCTCCATTGTGATTACGGGACAGACGTTCACTGAAAAGAATATTTTGAACAAACTGCTGGCACGGCGCAGCTGTACCCATTCTTAATGATCCATTAATGCCTCCTCCGAAGAGAACTGTACTTGCGCTGTTTCGTTTCCCGAGGTCAGCATACTGGGAAGCATTGTCACCGCCACCAGACCTCGTTACATATTTCCCCGCATTGTTCCCAGGCACGTGTGCGGTGAAGCTATTGGCATGCAGATTGTCCGTCATTAAAGCCATTTGAAAATCAGCTTTGTCACTGGTTTGGCTGGAACTTCAGATTCTGGCAGACCAGAGGGGCCTGCGCTCAGAAAGGCCAGGGCACCCGCCTGTCCTGTCCTGGGGCTGCCAGTTAGAGCACAGCAGTGGGCGTGAGGTAGGTCAGTGGGAGTAGGTGGTCAGGGGAGTGTGATGATCTCCTGTGGGCTCAGGTGCCCGGGCTCCTGGTGCGCAGGGGCGGAAGCCAGGGTCTGCATTCCATCAGGCTGAGGTGCGAACGCCAGCCAAGATCCACAGCCTAAGACGCCAGGTCAGGCCAAAGCTCGGCCGCATGTGTCTATTTTTCTAAAGTGCGTGAGACATCCACAGCCCCTCTGCTCACAAGCAGGAACTGGGCTGCTGTCCTGCTCCACCCGGGTCAGATCCTGGGGGTCACTGCCACAGAGGCAGCTCCTCCAGAAAACATCTGCAGAGCGGTCTGTTCAAAGATGCCCTCAGGCATGTGAAATCCTAGTGACTAGATCTACCGTGGGTGATTCAGGAATCAGGCAGTGCTGGACCACAGCAGTTAGGTGAGGAGCTCTTCATCCAAAAAAATGAAATACCTAGGAATCAGTCTAACAAAGGATGTAAAAGACCTCTCCTTTGAAAACTACAATATTCTGAAAAAGGAGATCAAAGAGGATATCAGAAAAGGGAAAGATATCCTTTGCTCTTGGGTAGGAAGAACCAACATAATGAAAACAGCCATACCTCCAAAAGTGTTATGCAGATTTAATGCAATCCTGATCAAAATTTCAACAGCCTATCTCACAGTATTAGAGAAAACGATCTTAAAATTAATTTGGAACCAGAAGGACCTAGAATAGCAAAGGCAATTCTGGGCAACAAAGGCAAGGCAGGAGGCATCACAAGCCCTGACTTGAAATTATTCTATAAAGCTACAGTGATAAAAACAGCATGGCACTGGCCAAAAAAAAAAAGACCCAAAGATCAATGGAACAGATTAGAAGATGCGGAAACAACTGCAGACAGACTCAGCCACCAGATCTTTGACAAAGTGCCAAACACCTTCGCTAGAAGAAGGCCTCTTTCATAAATGGTGCTGGGGGTGATGAGCTCTTATAGACAAGCAACGCTTGGGACTGGCTAACTCGACAGTCCCTAGGGAGAAGTTCAGTACAAGTTTCCTCTTCTGCTGCCCGCTAGTGTGGGTCCTTGCTTTTGGTCGCAGTGGAAACCAACATTAAAACACAAATTTATAAGAGGAAGTTGGAACCAGAAATAAGAGAACCTAGGGCTGAATCCCAACACTCCAGAGGCTGAGGCAGGAAGATCCACCATCAGTCTGCGACCAGCTTAGGTTGGGCAACATAGTGAGTTCAAGGCCAGCCTGAGCTACATGCAGAGACCCTGTCTCACAAAACCGAGAGAGAGAGAGGTAAGACTTCAGCTAGAGGAGCTGACGAGATCAGGATACCCCTTAACAAGAGAGTAAAAAAAACAGGAAGCTGTTTCTCGGGCAGTGGAGGGGCGTGGCCCAGTGAGGGGAGCGCAGTGGCCCCCACAAAGGCAGGAGGCAGCTGTAAGGACTTGAGTGTGGTCTGCGTCCTCCAGCGCTGGGTCTTCAGGGCAGCAGCCGGCCTCTCCCAGGAAAGCCCTGCCCCTGTTTCCAGTGGCTCCAGTCCTGGAGGCTCCCATTCCCGGAACCCAGGGGACCACAGGTTCAGGACAATAGCCAGACACTGGGGTACCTGAAGGTCCCTTGCCTCAGAGAGCCCTCCATCCCGAAGGGGATGAGATCCTGTATGTGTGGGGCTATCCACCGTGTGCAGCAGCTCCTCGACAGACAGCCCACCCCCAGAGGAGGGGAGACACGCCAGCGATGAAATGAAAGTCCGGCAGTGCTGTTTTACTGACCTACTGGGCATCTGTAGGGATGTCATGCGTCACAGCAGAAATGGCTTTAAAATCCTGACCGTCCCAGAAAGAAAAACACAAATCATGTTTTGTCTAGTTTATACGCAGACAGAGTTTCAGTGCGTAGCCCTGGCCAGCCTCTAGCTTGCAGCAGTCCTTCCCAGCCTCCCAAATGCTAGGGTTACAGGCCCGCACTACCACCCCGAGCACAGATCATGTTTTTAATGATCAGCTGATACAGGCCGGGATTCTGCCTGTTCCCAAGCCTGGCCGCGATCTGACCAGGTCACCCTTGTGTCATTATTGTATGCCCTGATCTGACTCCCTGCTGTCAGGTAGGACTCTGGCACTGCCACCTTGCCAGCCTGTGGCCTCCTGTTATGGTTGAAACATTGTGTCAACTTGGGGAGTCTAGAGGTTTGGCTAAGTGACTCAGCAGGAAGCCAGGGTGCTTACTTTGTATTGATCCTGAGCCTGTGGAAGAGGAGGGCATGGAGATTATGTGAGAGCTACACGCCCTTTAGGTGGGGGTAGCCTGTTTACAAAGTAAGGCAGGGAAAGAAGCTGCTTGCCGCCATTCCTCCGGTTTTGCTCTGGCTGTTTGCTGTTCGGCTGCCGTTTCCCCCCTTTGCTCTTGTTGCTTTGCTATCTTCTGCCTCGGAGCCAGCCAAGTATGGACTGAAACCTCCACAAACTGTAAGCTAAATAAACCTTTCCTTCCGTCATTTTGGACGTTGGGTATTTTGTCTCAGCAACGAGAGAAAAGTAACCAAGACACCTCCCATAATGAGTCACCGTTCATAGAGGGGTCAACCTGCTGCTCTTATGGAAGGAAGTGTGTGCCCTCCTCTGCTCACCCCCGGCCCCTGAACGAGTCCCGAGGTCCCGGGACACGAACTCACCATGCACCTCTGGCCAGGAGGGCAGGCCATGCTTGGGCTCCCAGCAACCACGGGGCTTTTCCCGCGTTTCTGGGGGACAAGCCCAGTCCAGGGGCTTCCCTGCGGCTGCCTCTCACCTTGCGGGGGGCACAGGGACTCAGTGTTCTCGAACAGGGGGGCGGCGTCCCCTGAAGCCACGTCTAGTTACAGAGAGGTTCGGGCAAGTGAAGGGCTGCTGTTAAACTTAAGGTTTTTATTTTCCCACCCCAGACACCAGCTCTGAACTACTGAGTTTTAGAAGTTTGGATGAAGTGGCCACATTATTCGGTAAGAACCCGGTGCCAAGCGGGGGCTGTGGGGAGGCCGGGCTGCGTTGGGCGCTTCCCAAATAACCTGAGATGCAGCCGGCCGAGAAGCAGGTTGGTTTGAGGCCCCGTTCCGTCTGAATGAGCTGTTCCCCCAAGTCCCTGGTGAAGGAGACTAGAGCACAGGGCACAACCTCCTCAGCTTGGGCTCCTGAGCTCCAGGCTCACTGTGCTGTCGGGAGCCGGGCCGGGCCGGCGGGGAAGCCGTGGGCTGTGAACCGCAAGGGTGCAGCCTTCTCCCGGTCCCTCCTTTGTCTCTGTGTCCCGGCTGCATCTGCCGTGGGGGGAGCAGCTTCTCCTCCCTCTCCCTCTGCCTGGCTGTGTCTGCCCTCGAGCCGCTGAGCAGACGGAAACCGAGAGCCAAAACAAAGCTCTGCTCCTCCGAGCTCAGGGGTCCCACGCTGGGTCCCAGCTCTCAGCGAGAGGGACAGGGAGATGGGCGGGAATCGCAGTCCCCCGGCCTGTGGCTTTAGTGGCTGAAGTTCCGGCGGATGTGGACTCTGAGGCCAGGCGTGGACTCCGGGACTGTTGGAGCTGACAGCACCCTGCAGCTGGCTCCTCGCAGTGAGGCCCCGGCAGGGTCCACGTTGGCCACCTGGAGCCCACTGCCCCCTCAAGCCCAGCCCGGCTTCCTCCTCGGTCTGCACTGAGCCAGGCCGGTGAGTGCGCTGCCCCGAGGGCCCGAGGCTGAGCCCTGGCCTCCTCCTCCTCTGCCCCGTTGTTCAGGGGACCTGGGAGGCTGCAGGGACACGGGCCAGCTCCTCAGGGGTGCAGCCGCTGTCACCTGGCAGGCACCTGGCACACAGGTTCTCCTAGAGCTCTGGGGTGGGGAGGCGACCACTTTTTTGAAACAAGTCTTGGTATTTAGTCCAGCTGGCCTTGAACTCCCTATAGCCCAGGTTGTCCTTAAACTCAGGTCCTCCTGCCTCAGCCTCCCTAGTGCTAGGATTGCAGATGTGCATCACCCCACCCAACCACTGTCAGATTTTCTGATAGCCATATTAAAAATGAAAATCCACCGGGCATGGTGGCTCATGCCTGTAATCTCAGCACTCAGGAGGCTGAGGCAGGAGGATCACTGTGAGTTCAAAGACATCCTGGGCTACAAAGCCAGCCTGAACACATAGTGAGACTCTGTCTCAAAAAGACAAAAATAAAAATAAAAATGAGAAACCATTTTAATAATATATTTAGTGTCATTTCAACATATAATCAACATAAGGCCAGGGGTGGTACCACATGCCTGTAATCCCAGCACTCAGGAGGCTGAGGCAGGAGGACCATTGCGAGTTCGAGACCAGCCTGGCCTACAAAGTGAGCTCAAGGCCAGCCTGAACTGCATAGGAAGACCCTGTCTCAAAAAGATGAAAAAATAAACAAACAACAACAACAACAACATCTAACCAACATAAAATACTAAAGAGATGTCTTCCATCTTACCACACCAAGTCTTCAAAATCCAGTGCATCCTCTGCATTCGAGGCCACTTCAGCGTGGAGACCCGACACAGTCCAGGGCACGTGCAAGGGGCCAGAGCCACCCCGCAACAGTGCCACCATCTGATCCCGCCCCTCACTTTACACTTGGGAAACCGAGGCCAGAGGAGTCCCCTGAGCTGGAGCGGGGCCTCGGGCACAGGCCGACCCAGCTACATCAACGTCTGTCCCCTGATACCAGGGCAAGCGGTCCCCACAGCGCCATCCTGGCGGGGCGGCAGGGGCCATCAGGCTGTGGGGGTGGTGGCGACTTCTGGCCACTGTTGGACTTACCTTGGGGCTGAAGCTCCCAGGAGAGGCAGGAGGACAGGGAGAACCTAAGCCATGCAGACAGGACAGAGTGGCCGCAGGGCGCAGGAAACACCCACGACCCCGGCTGTGGCCAGGGCTCCAGTGTGTGCCTCCCTATGACAGAACACCTGGGACACCAGCTTGCTCAGGGCACAGGTCCGCGCGGGCCACAGTCCCGGAAGTTCCGTCTGTGTCCGTGGCTTCCGGGACTCTGGACCTGTGGTGAGTAGTGTATCTGCTGGGCTGGTGGTGCAAAATCCAGCTCATGGCCAGGGAGCAGAGAGGAGGAGACGGGGGCCCCACAGCGCCCCTGACAACGAGGCCAGGGCCACCTGGAGACCAAGCACAGTGTCCTTGAGGCCAGCAAGACCGAGCCAGAGCAGCAGGCAGCGTTCAGGAGAAACCCGGACGCCTGATCTCTCGGGGAGGCAGCGCCGCCCCAGCCAAGGTTCTCCGGGGGTCGGGGCCCTGTCCCCACGTCCCTGTTTCCTACCCACTGTGGCAGGGACCGCGACAGACGTCAGCCCCACTCTAACGTGTTCTTCTGTGTTTTTCCCAAGATGAGATTCTAGTCCAAGAGATTTTGGATCCAAAGAAATTAACATTCCTGGAGACACTAAGCCCAGCAGCAACATTACCAACAGAAAAAACGACAGAAAAAAGCAAGTATACGGTTTTCTCCCACAATCTGTGTGTCTCTGGGCACTGGGGTACTGGCCAACCCAAGACCCGGGGATCCGGGAGGCCCCCTGCACGTGGGTGAGGGTGAGGGAGAAGGGGAGCAGCTGGCCCAGCCCTGCCCCGGGCTCCGGGGGAGGAAGTGAGAGCCAGGCAGTGGGTAGCGCAGCCCCACCGGGGCTGGTGAGCGCACCGCCTGCTCTGGTGCCCGGCCGCCCAGGACGGGCACACTGAAATGACAGCCTGAGTGTCCACACGCTGCCATCCCCACG